AATGAGCTGTCCTTTTCAGAAAGTCTTACTTCGAGCCTACTTTGTGTTATTTTCATGATTTAATTTTGATCATCAGAAAATATTTACAGCTGACTCCATGTACAGAAACCCTGGATGTCTTCTTCTGTCTTTTTTTTCCTAATTTTACTTTGATGTACAGATGATGCAAAACATCTAAGCTGCTGTTTTGCATGTGAACAAGGGAGAAGCACAGCGCAGATGAGGCACTTTTAATGATTAAATGTGACTTGGAGTTGGATTGGGACCAAGACTCATACACAGATGTGATGTTTCAAATGTGTCAGAAACTACACATGATATTTTTGTTATTGTTACCAAGTGAAATTTATTATGAAGCAGAAATTGCTTTTGAAACTCTGTTTGTAGATCTCTTTCTCCCTCTGGTGGACGTGCTGGTACACTACACCAACATGCCAACAAAGAATTTCTTTCTTGCTTCAGCATTAATAGTTCCTCAAATCCATGCACAGGGCATATCAAGATATGAACAAAGAGCAGCTATTGTATATGCTCGCAGCATATTTCTAATTCATGCTCTTAAACTCTAACCACTGTCCCTTGAGGATTTCCTCAGTTTTACTGTGATTGAGGGCGTTGTTTCTAATGTATTATCTGCACTGTGAAAAGTGAGTGATTCACCCTGCTGCAATGTGCTTGAAGGTCCATGGATTTACAATAGTCAATGTTTTTTATGAAAAGAACTGAGACTTCATTTCATCTTTAGTTTTCAGCAAAACAAGCCTGTTCATTCTGACTAAAATCTGTAAAATAAACCTGAAAATTATTTTTTATTATTTAAAAAAAGTTATAAAATGAATGTCTTATGTCAAATTGGTTTAGCTCTACAAATGGGGATCATTTATAGATATAAAGTGCCATAAAGTAAACAAGAAAAAACTTTTAAAATGCTTAAATATGAGCATTTCTTGTCATAGCCTATCTCTTTTAATATTGTTCAGAATCCTAAAAAGTAATGCCGTTCTCCCTTAGGGTTTAATGACCCATGGTGCTACAAGGCAGAACACCAAATTGAGAAGCGGTAACTATATTATATTAGCTGAAGTCTTTTTTATATATATACTCTAAATGTAACAAAAACATTTGACATTGTATGTGTACTCTTAATTTAGAGATATGCTGATATCATTTGGACAACTGATCTGCAACACAGCTTGATGTTAGCCACCAGGATATCAATAAAATGTGGTATAACTAAGGTTAAATTTAGTCTAATGTTATATACTGATGGAGGCCTGCCATTTCCATGTCTCTTCAAAGATTTACGTTTGTAGTTTTTGGCGCTAAAGCAGAAGTTGTACGAAGAGACACACCGGCTGTACATTTTCCTCTGTTGTCTTTTGATATGTGGATGTTGAACAATGTAAAACAGATTAGAATAAAAAGGTCCTGAATCTCAATGCTGGAGATCCCCTGAGAGCCTCTCTCTGATCCTTAATAAATCAACAACATGAACAGCAAAGTGTGAGGGTGTTTGTGTCAGTGATGTGTGCTCTGAAAGGGACTGATCAAAGTATCAAACTGTCTTTTCATCCATGAGGAACCAGCCTCTTCACAGATGCTGGAATGACTGAATGAGGGCATTTTATGAGCATAATGAATCTTTTAACTGCCAGAGCTTCATTGTGGTTTCGACGGTTTGGTAATTTGTCTGGAAGTTTAGTACTCCATTTTGCTAAAAGGGAATAAGTTAATATGCCAGGCTAGAGTGAAAAGGTTAGGAGGAAAGGTCTAGTGGTGAGATTAGGTTTAGGCGAGGATCATGTTGAGGACAAACATCTTACGTACCCGTAAGGAGCACCCCAGTCTGTGCTGTGTGTAGATCTAAGGTAAATGCGATACTAAAAACAAAGAGTAAGAGTTGTATCATTACACCAGCGTCAAGGACACTTAATGTGAAGGGAAAAAAGGAGCAACTGACACCGCCCTTCCCTCCTTTTCTTACGTATCGTTCGCCCCTCTCCTTTACCTTCGTCACTCTGTTATCTGAGGCTGATAACTGTCTGTCACCTGTTTCTCCTTGACTCTCAGGGTGGACACTGTCACTGTTTGTGTCTGTTTAGTGCCAAGAGTTTGTGTTTTAATTTACAAAGACAAGTGATCCACAGGTTAGGTATCATTATTCTAAAACCAGAGATCTTCTCATGCCTGTTGTGTTATCTCATGGATAGCTGTTTGCAGCAGTTGACTGGTTGCTTTTACCCACTTAGCTTAAGAAAAAAGTGAAAGTCCCAATACAACAATGTAATATACATTGAAAAAAATTATAAACGCGACACTTGTTTTTTCCCCCAAGTCATCATGAGCTGAACTCAAAGATCTAAGACTTTCTCTATGTACACAAAAGTCCTTTTTCTCTCAAATATTGTTCACAAATCTGTCAAAATCTGTGTCAGTGAGCACTTCTTCTTTGCCGAGATAATCCATCCACGTCACAGGTGTTGCATATCAAGATGCTGATCAGACAGCATGGGTGTTGCATAGGTGTGCCTTAGGCTGGCCGCAATAAAAGGCCACTCGAAAATGAAGGGAAATGTCTCTTTTGTGGAACACAGACATATGAAACGTGACAAGGGGCCCAAACTACACACTGATTTTTTTGTGAGTGCATGGTCACAAGCCAAAGAAAGATAAGGAACCATGGTTTAATCTTTAACAATGTGGTGTATTCTGTTTGTTTTTCAGATGTAAAATCTATGTAACTAGTAACTACAGCTGTCTGATAAATGTGGTGGAGTTAAAAGTACAGCAGGCCCATTTCCCTCTGAAATGGGGCGAAGTAGAAGTATAAAGTAGCATAAAATGGAAATACTCAAGTAAACAAGTACATCAAACTGTACTTAACTACAGATGAGTAAATGTAATTAGCTACTTTTCGCCACTGCCTGTTACATCAAAGCTTATTCTTTATGAATCAGATGTGCCAGGACCTTGTAATTCATATGTCTCCTGACTCCTCTCTGGCAGTGTGCTACGGGCATAAAGTCTCCTTGCAGTCTTGTATTAAGATGGATTTCATGAACCTGAGGAAAGCGAGACTTCTCAAATTCTACCGAAGAGAGAGTGAGCCACACCTGGAAAGGAATTACTCATCACACAATATAGACCTGGAGCCACCTATGCTACTGTATACTTGAATGAACAATTTCATTTCGTTCTCATATGCATGCCAGCCTACTCTCATGCAATCCCCCCCCCTCAGGCGTGCATTCGAGCTTGACGTGATCATTGCCTGACTGTGTCTGATGGACGTGGTGGCTTGACATCTGGGTGTCGCTTGACCTGCTCTGTTGGTAACCGAAGTGTTCCTGTCGTCCTTATTAGATGCTTCAGGCTCGGTTCCAGTGACATGACCTGGCTTTGTGCTGCTCATCTCCTTTCCTCACACAGGCAGCACCTGCCTTGTGTGATCCATCAGCAGAGATTGCCTTTTAGTTTGTGTCGACCTGGTAAGGTCAGGCGTGTTTTTAGTTAGTGTTTACATGATGTACTCTGGCTACTGTTTGTCCCAGAGTGGTTGAAAAGGCCATGTGACTGAGAATTAAATAACTGATCCAGAGCATAACTCATGGAGGATGTCTGTCTCGCCCTGGTTCACAACGGAAACACCTCAGATACAGACCCATAGTTCATTGAACAAACATTAGCCAAAACAAACATTAGGGCTTTTACTTGTAATGGACTACTTTTTTACATTGTTGTATTGATACTTTTACTTAAGTAAACTCACATTTTATGAATTACAAATGTTGCCATTTAATCTTCCTTCCTTCTCCTTATGTGTGAGGTGTTTTTATTATTTTGTCTACCCTCTTTTGTCCTACATAAAAACTGTTGACTTACTGGTCCTTTATAATAAGGAAACAGGTATCTGAGGCTCGTACAGGTTGTTTGTTTTACCTCAAGCTACAACAGGGTTAACAGTCACAGACACTGTTTTGTTTTGAACTGTTTACCTATCTGCAGGCTGAGCATGTCCAGCTCATGTATTCAAACCACCCAATCAGAGGACGCCTTTAGAGGACACAGTGGCCTGAGGGGGAACCCCGCCCATAGATGCTGGCTGACCTGTATTCAGCATTTTGCTTGAAGGTAAGAAGAGGAGGCAGTCAAGCTCAAGCACAATTACACCCAGAAGTAGAAAGAAATCCCTCTGGTTGGAAGGAGAGGCTCTTCAGCTGCTCAGCATTTCTTCCTCAGTCATATTTTAAAACTGACGAGCAGCTGTAAAAGCCAATGAGTTGTAGGAAGACGTGTTGATTTACTGATCTGTGTGTGTGTGTGTGTGGGTTAGACACTGAGGGACACTAAGTGTGCTAAGAGTCATGGCAACTTGAACATTCCTCTGTGATTATACCACTGCTTTCCAAGTTACATACTTGACTAATGTACTCCATAAATTGGATTCAGTCCCGTCACCTTTGCTGCCCTTCCTTCATTTACAAACACACACACACACACACACACACACACACACACACACACACACACACACACACACACACACACACACTCTTTGTCTTCCATCACACCGTCTTGTTCTTTCTTTCTTTCTTTCTTTCTTTCTTTCTTTCTTTCCCTCTCCTCTCTCTGTCATTCTGTTTTGAAGAAGTTTTCCATGCAGATTCAAGTCAAACATCTGGGTCAGCTTATATCTAGTGGAACAAGACTTGCAGGATATTGTTGGCAGGATGTGTGAGCTGGAGCAGTTTACTCTGTGGGAATCCCCAATACACACACACACACACACACACACACACACACACACACACGCTCACACACACACACACACACACACACGCTCACACACCAACACACACTCACAGTTTGCTGACATTGTTTCTGTCTGCACCATTCAACTTGATTTCCAGGTGCAGCAATTCCTGCACGTCATGTTGATGAATACTTGTGCAACATGAGGGATTTTTAAGTATGGAAAACCAAACACACCACAATTAATAGTTGGTTAAATGCCATGTTTAATATTTTGAAGAATGCATTGATTATTACCAAAAAGGATTACAAAATAGGCGCAAGAAAGGGGATAAATCATATTCTATTTTTCAACACTGAGTACATACAATAATAGGATAATCTGTAACTTAGTATGTGTTAATTGGTAATTAATCATGTGCAAGAAATGCTCAAACATGCTGGTGTGCGTTCTGCAAAATTCTAACTTCCTTCCCTTCTGGGATCTTGTCTGTTAAAACTGCTATATTTGAGTTGGAAGAAGTTGAAATATACCCTGTTGTATATGTGAAGTCGCTCACTGCACCGCTCCCCTCATGTGTAGTTGTAATGTTTACAAATTGCACAAGACAAAAATCCGTTGCAACTCTCTCCTCCATCTCTCCTGATTTACAGCTCTTTCCCCTCCTCCTTGTTTCCCCCCTTCCCCTCTTCTCCTCTTTTCCCTCTTTCCACCTCGCCCTCCCACCCTTCCTTCTTACAGTGAATCAATCTTATTTCGCAGCTGAACTGCCTTTGCTTTCGTCATTTGGTTTTTCGTCTGTCTTGAACTCCAGGAAGAAGTCGTTGCAGGCGACAGTGAGGGCGCCCATCAGGATGATGAACTCGGTGAAGTCCACCTCTCCGTCATTGTTGGCGTCCAAGTCGTTCATCACCTTCTCAACTGCTTCATTATCTTTGGAGGTCTGTCAGTGAGGAGCAGAGAGCGAGAGAGTTTGTAATGTGTTCTCTGTGATGTGTGTGTGTGTGTGTGTGTGTGTGTGTGTGTGTGGGCATACATCATTGCACAAACTTGTCTGAACTTGTGAGTGTAAGTATGTCAGCACATACCTTTACTTTTGTGTTGCATATTTGCTAAGTGTCCCAGTGTGTTAGTGTAAAAACTACATATTTGCCTCCTCACACACTAATTCTCTTACCCCTAAGTAAGTCCCCAGCTCCTCTAGTAGCAGCTCCTTCAGTTCACCCCTGCTCAGCGTGTACTTGTCGCCCTCCTTCCCAGAGTACTTGTGGAAGGTCTTTATAAGCATCTGCATGGCACTCTCCAGGTTGGAACTGGGCTCCTTGGACATGCTGAAAAGGTATCAGGTCAAAAGGTCAGACTCTGCCACAAAATGCCCGCTCCAGCCCCCAGCTGCATGTGCGGTCACATAGCAATCAAGGGTGAAGCCACCTCCAAGACAAAGTGATAGTTGGACAGGCAGATGGAAGGATGGAAACATGGAGGAAACCAAAGCAGAGAGGTTTTCCTACTTCTAACAGGTCAAATAATGCTCTGCGTGTAGGGCAGAGGCTATTACTGACTCTAATTTAAGCAGTGTGGTCCCTATGTGTGTGTGACCTTACTGGGTTTTGTGTTTCAGATGTTTGGATGGAAAGATGGAAGATAGCTTTGGAAAAGCTTTTTTTGAGCAATCTTACACACATTGTTTCCGGCATCTTGGAGCTTCTTGTGCTGGATTCGTGGAGAGACTGTGCACACAAGGACACAGATAAGTCACTGTCAATGATGCAGAGTAAGTGTGTGAAGAGCTTTCTACGTCAATGTGAAAATAAAACCCACTTCATGTCACCTCATGTGCTACTTATAAAAAAGATAGTTTGAGGAACATTTGAGCTGTTTTGGTAATCAACATCTTGGGTTATCGCTTGTGTAAGCTGAATTGGTCACGCGGGCAACAATTAACCCTGTGGCATCAGTGAACAGTGGTTTCAATGTAAAACATGTTATCTGTCTGTTGATCGTGGAATAACTTTGTCATTCAAAATGGAAACCAGAAGTGAAACACAAAACTCACATTCAGAAGCTAAGGGGCCGAGTAACCTGGCAACCTATACACTCACTTGAGCATACAGATGAGGGCACTCATTCACTTCCACACTTGCTCAAACTTGGTCAACTTTCAAGCTCAAGTTTAAAGTTTAGGGATCTACCCATATAAGAATAAAAGTTTACTGCATTGTTTTGAGGCTAATCCAAAACCAAGCAAAATACAGAGGGACACAATCAATATGTCAATCTCCTTGTGCATGATTTAGTAACTATCAGCTATTGCAAAAGGAGACAGGGGATGCTGATGTCAGTCACTGGTTATTGCCTCTCATCATGCATTGTAACGGAGAAGTCAGAGTTGTAGGCAGTGGAGACAAAAGAGGAGGCGAGTGGACACCAAAGCTGGCTAACTGGAAAATCTATAGGGGTCATCTGTCTCACAGACTGATACAATACAATAGGAAACCATGGAGTCAGAAATGCGGTCAGTAACACAATATTGAGTATTGTTATAATGAATATGCACTGTGCAAACTTAATGATGGAACAATTTCCACATTGAGGGATGTATACAGTTAAAAATTTGGTTAAAAAAGGATAAATCTATTTTTTAGTCCTGGAAATATTGATTTACTAATGGCTTGGTACGTACATGCAATGCTTATAGTTGCTTTTCAAACATTTTAAATACTTCATTCTACATTAATCCCAGCATATTGTCATTATTTAACACTGCTTTGCTTTGCTACAAATCCCTATTGGCTTCATTTGTTTGATGACTGAAATTCCTGTCATGTTCTACGTCATCAACAGAAAGCAAACAGTACCTCAACAAGAGATGTTGAAATGCCTCCCTCCTTTGTTTTCAAGTCTTCTGCTGAGCACCCACTACCCAGTGCTCTAAAGGTTCTTGATTCTACAGGTTTTTTCTGTTGTTGCACAGCTGATAAAATCCTTTAATTTTCTTTGCTTTTACAAGGAAATCTTCGTCAGATATGGCGGAGAAAGTACAATGAAGCAACCCCTCCAAGCTGTCTGTCTTACCTGAGTGCTGATGGAGGGCCTCCTTTGTCTTTGAAGAGGTGCAGGGTACTGAGCCAAGGCAGAGATGGATGGGGAGAGAGTTTGCCAGTGGCTTAAATATCACCTGCCCGTCTCCCTCCTCCCCCCGCCCCAAACTCATTCACCCACTTACATACTCTGTGCTTCTGTGTCGTCCCCCCCCGCAGGTGCTTTGTTTCCCTTCCTTTCCCCATCACACACATACACATGCATGACAACTGGATTCTTGGAAGTAACCGAGCACAGAGCAGGCCACAAGTAAAAATATGTTATCGTCACAGTTTTATTCAATACTAGCCATTACATGTTACATAGAATAAGCAAAAATGATACAGCGTTATATGAAGTTGAAATACTAGCATAGTGGACTTTACTGGACATGACAGTGGACTGAACTGTTAAACACACCCTCTAATACTTGGCAGGAAATGAACACATCAGCGCACCATGATGAAAGCCTGCACAATATCCTGGGAATGGTCCCATAATCACAAACATTTTGACCCAATGAGCCTTTCAAGCACATCCATATACTTGCATGTACACTTAGTACGGTATGTCTGCTCTGAAGATTCTTAACACAGGCTTGTACCTTCATCTACTGTGTCACAGAATGAATGAGATGTATTATGTGGCAATGCAAACACTCCCTGCTGCAAATCTGCTGTGTTTCGTTCCAGCATGTTTTTAATCTAGATGGAGTTAACATTGGGTGGGGTTTACATTATCGGACAGTGCCTGTACAGACAGTTCAACCTTTCTGAAAGAAAACATGATGCTTATGGTTCACTGTGTCCCCCTGCTATTCCAAATAGGTTAAAAGAAAGCAATAGCTGAAATGAAATCATTTCCAGATGATATTTAACCCAGGACTGTTCACTCTAAATATTTTGGTGGTGCAGGTCAAGTAATTTTAAACAAACTTTATCCAGTTTCTTCTTGCCATATGTTTTTCTTATAATAATAGGTTGAGGGCAAACAAAGAACACAAAGATGCACAAATGGTTTATGGGGAATAGAAAATAAAGTATGCAGCTTACCAGTATATGTATACACAAGATGCAAGTGCCTGCGGCCTATGCACATGTTGAACAGAAGGCTGGCTGTAGATGGTGCAAGAGAGTGATATGTTTCCATTATTCACAGGAAGTACCATGATTAGAAAATGTTTTGATATAAAAATGATTCAGGTTTTATTAAAAGACTTAATAATATAGTGTATATAGCCCAAAGTGTCCATTAAGTTTGTTAGCTAGAGAGCATGCAGGAAACACAACGTACAATGAGTACTGAGTGATTGTAAATGAGAGAGTATTTGCAATGGGAGTGTCGCAGTGAGGCAGGGTGACCACATGACTCAGGTTTATTTGTCTTGGCTATTTTGCTGCTGAGCAGTTTGAAGTGCCAGGTGCTATTACAGTGCATAAGGTGCACATTTGGTAATGTGCCCAAAATGTGTGTACCTTAGCACTATGCTGCTGGCCAGGTAGACTTATAACATAGCAGGCCTGCAACACAAGCCTTTTTGTCACGGCTGCATTATTTTTGATGAGACAATTTACAAATCATTAAATTGTTATTGACAAATTGCATATAATTTGAAAAAAAAAGTACGTTTTCAAGTGATCTCCATAGTGGTCCAAACAAGGAAGATTTAGGTTAAAAAGTTCAATATAAAGAGGCCATGTTGAACTTAAATATTTGGCCACAATAATTGCAATACAATTATAATACTCGCAAATATGTTTCTGATATCATGCAATTTCATATGTATTAATCTCTTGTAAAAGATCGCACCACATAGATTCATATTGATGGGTCAGTATTCTTATTTTACCAAAAAAAGCAGAAATGGGATGGGTCACTAGAGCCCAGGATTACTTTCATGTAATTGTTTGTATCCCAGAGTGTGTTACCCATCAAATACCTAATCCAGTAGTTCCCCAATGTCTGGGACTCAAGGATCCAGTTGCAAGTCAAACTGGGTCTCTGTGTGAGGGTGTGACACAAACACATGCAAGCCTAATCAAGTGGCTCTAAAACCAACAGAAAACAACATGCTACAATTTAAGAGAGTCTCCAAAACAAAGGCCAAGTTTCTGTCAATCCAGGGCTACGAGTGGTCACTCTAGATAATGTACCGTCCAGCACCTTTATGGATCAATAAGTAGAACCTGACTGTTTAAATACCATATGATTTGGAAGACACGCACCAAATAAAAATGCACTAATTGTATCATAAAGTACTTGAGATAGAAAGTGACTGTGTTTTTTTCTTCTCTACCAGTTCTAATCCAGGTGGATTATATTAAAAGAACACCTTCTCTGACCTGCTACTCTAGTCACTAACCCACTTCTTTGGGACTGTTTTGGGTTCCCTTTTGACTGCAAAGGGACAGAGAGCCCATAAGGTAGACTAGAAAGATAGAGAGAAGAGGGCGTGATGGGGCATGAGTACACGATGAGTTGAATTAATGCAAAGCTTCAGCAAAACAGCTTGTTTATTGTCATGCCAAACCACTCCATAGCATTTTGAGTTGAAAGACAAGAATGTAAAAATTCTATGTAGTGTTATAGACATATTTTCATGCAACCGTATTAGGATTAGTTTTACATTTTGGTAAATTATTAGCTTTCTGGACAAGAGTTAGATGAGAAGATTGATACCATTCTAATGTCTGTAGGCCTACGTTAAAACTGAATGCAGCCAGCAGCAGGTTAGCTTAGCCTAGCATAAAGACTGTAAACAGAGGCTCTCTCCAAAGGCAACAAAATCCACCTACTAGAACCTCTAATTAACACGCTGTATCTTATTTGTTTAATGCACACAAAAAACAGTCTAAACAAGATTAAACTGCCCAGTTGTAACATGTTAATTAATGAGCTAACTGGCAGCTGGCTATAGCTTCATATGCAATGGACACATACAACAGTGGTTTTGATTGTCACATCTAATTCCTGGCAAGAAAGCTAATGATCATATTTCTCAAATGCTCAAACTACTTCTTTAAACCCGTGGTTCTCAAACTGGGGGGCGGGAACCCCCTGGGGGGCCTATAGCCACTTCAGGGGGATTGTGGATGTTGAGCAGACCTAAAATTGCATGAATATGATTCATGTACTGACATGAACAAACAAAAGGGCTCGGATTCTAGCAAGGCTATTTTGCTAACCTGAATCCTGTTTATTTCAATCGACTGTATTGTTAATGATTAATAAAAATTTAATCCACTTTTGCTGGGATGTGGGGACATGAACTCTTTTTGGCTTCTGAAGGGGGGCGTGGCAGAAAAAGTTTGAGAACCACTGCTTTAAACCATTAGTGCTCACTGCTGATGATTTACCAAAGACCAATGTAGCTACAGTAAGTAGTGTAGAAGAATTGAAGAAGAGACCCAGATAAAGACAAAAGTGGGGAGAAGATGTGATTTAAACTAAACATCTTGGCTGTAGTGGTGTGTTAAGATACAGTGACACTTTGGTCACGCGTGTCAGTGTGCTGCTGCAGGTAAATCATATTTTGAAGTTTTCACAGGGATACAGCATGCATATGATAGTGGACATCTGCATGCTATCAAAGTATATGATCATAGTGAGGTAAATGTGCTATATAGTGGGAGGCACATGCTGTACATATGAACATAGTGGTAACTAGTAGTACAAAGCAATAATTCTACTGTCATGTACATGTATTATTTATCATATATAAGGAATGGGGTTTCTTCAGAGTTGGGCTTGTAGTGTTTGAACCTTTACCGATATATTTTGTATTTCAAAGTTGTGAGTGTTTGAAAAAAAAGCTTAGGTGGCTTACCAACTTATTTTGGCATTGAATGCTGTGTTTTGGTGTTTTTTAGTGTTAAATGTAAGCGTGTATTGTGATTCTTTTGTTGTAAAAGAATGGACTGTCCCCTATGAGGTCGCCTCCTCTGTCTTCTTCTCCCCCTCTTCCTCCACAGCTGCTGCCAGCGTCTCTTCAACTTCCTTCGCCTTTTCTGTTTCCTTTGGCTTCTCCACTTCCACGGCTTTTGCTGCTGGCTCTACTGCTGCTACCACTGCTGCTGCTGGGCTGTTCTCCTTCTTTGCTGCCTCAGGCTCCTTCTGCCCCTCTGCCTTTGCTTCTACCTTTACTTCTACCTTTGCATCTGCATTTGCTTCTACCTTTACTTCACCAGTTGCTTCTGCCTTTGCCTCTGGCTTTGCCGCTGCGTTTCCCTCTGGCTTCTCCTCCACTTTGTCCGGGGCACTTTGTGCCACTTGTCCGGACGCAGCATTTTGGGCAGGTTCCTCTTTGGCGAGGACACGCTGCTCGCTGAGCGAGACTGCTAGGTAGCCGACCAGCTTTAGGTACTCCTCAAAACCAACCTTGCCATCCTGGTTGGAATCCAGTCCCTGGCTCATATTCTTGATCGCCTCCTTGCTGTCTGTGTCCTGGGTAATAGGCACACACAACCATGAAACAATCAAGCATGATGATGAGTAACTCTACCTGGACTAGTGAAATCACCATACATGATTAGTAAATTACCCTCTATCAGTGTCTCTATTTGCATTATAATGCTGATGAATGTCATTCTATCATATTGGATCACTTTTCCCCATTAACCTGCTGTATATTGCATATTACACCACCCTTTGGTTACAGTGCTCATGTTCACAATCTGGACAGTGATAATGCAAGACCACTGTGTTTTTGTCTGTGAGGTAGTCACATAATGCAAAGGTTGGTTACATTTCAGAGAGGTTCAATGAACATTTCCTAACCGAAAGGATGTTGGAGAGCTGGTTCTTGACAAGGCCCTGGAACTCTTTCTGTCCTAGATTTTCCTTTCCCTTGGATGACTTCAGGTAGACCTTCACCATGGTCTGAATGGCAGCCTCCATGACTCCTCTCTCTAGGAAAAGGAAGAAGTCAAGACAGTGGTATTAGATAGATATATAGATGCCATTGCAGAAGTGATTAAACTTATTGCTGTTGCTGCAGGTGCTGGTGGTAAAGTGGTAGGGCACATCCAGTGGAAAATGAAACAGAGGATCTCCTCATGCCCCTGGGAGGCTTTTCGTTTCAGGTGTTGAGTCTAGAGCCGCAATAAGGGAGGGTGACGTGAGATAAGTGG